TTTTTGACTGGAACTAACCTAATTGTCCATCAGTATAAGCATATCCATTTGCAACTAGCGGATTTGAAATTCCACGCCACTGATATTTCATGATTTCCGCGTGTCTCTGTCTTTTGCCGTTGTCTCCGAAAAACTGTTTGTGCGGTTTGTAAATTCCAACAGGGAAAATCCCTACCTGCGTGTCAAATAGAGGCTTCACTGATCGATATCAGAACTCGCTTCCACATCATCAGTAGGGTAACACGTGAAGTCCCGGTTGATTAAACGTGACAAGTTAATTCCGCTTCACTTGCGTGTACATTATTGATTTGACACACGTCTATTGATGAAGGCCGGGAAAACTTATTCCAACAGGTATATCGCGCTGGCGGACAGTACATGGTACTGACGACGGTGGACCTTTTAAGGTTGGCAAGATTTTGGTAGATACTGGGATCGTTGCGGTCAATTATGTACCGATTAGGGTAGCCTCTTCAGGTGTCTAGCGACTTCTATGTTCCATGCGTATATTCTGAGCACACTGTGTTAAGCATCTCATATAAGTAGTCGGACCGATGCGCTGAAGCTCGACCGTTGGCGCGCTGCTGCTTTTGCCGAATCTCCTATCCTTGAACTGGTCTGAGGGCTTGAAACACGGTATTTCGATCAGAAAGTTTTGCGGTTCGACCACAACTACTGACTTGCTAATTGTTCTTGTCATGAACCGTCTCATTGCTTCAGTCATCTTTGAAGAATGCCGGAACCGAACAGGTTGTTTTCTCGCCTATTAGCAGAATTTGGGGGATTCTATCGATTACCGAAGTGTCTATGATGACGCCGCCATTCTGTGAGACATCCGATTTATGGCAGCTTGTATATCTACGTACGTTATTTTTACTAGAATGCAGTGATTTTCAATCAGATCTAACTCTGACCCAGTTTGTCACTACCAGCACCAACTAGCCAAGCACACCTTGCAATGTTTGTTTGTCTTGGCCAATCGATACCTGCGGCGAGCGTCGAAAGTGTTTGTTCTGTTGACCTCGCCAATTTTTTTGTACTTTGATATCTCCACCCTTGACTCACTGGCCAACTATGACGCCCTGTGTTGCTATGGTCGTTTCCTGCATTCGTCTCTACGTGACACCGGAAAGACAAACTGGAGTCAGTTCCACATTCACGGAGCCGTTCTTATCAACCTTCGTTTCATTTACACACCACCGCCACTTTTTTATCCGATAATCAATCCGGGATACTTCGTTTTCGGTCAGAAACGAGGCAGAACAGTGTTGCTGTTCTGCGGTTGTCCAGTTAGCTTCCAGACGCTCGAACAGCGGCTCTGACGATACTCACGGCGTACTGTGGCTGGATGGTGGAGGCTTCCCCAAGGTGGGAATATCCTCCCTCGTGCTCAATCCACACACGATACGATTTTGTCCTGATTCTAATTCCTTGTTGTCGAGACGTATAATAATGCCGTCAACAAACAGCGCTTGATACTTCACCGCCAGAGCAGTGTAGCCATATGGGTCAGCCAGTTTGTCATTGCCACTCGCGTACTTGTAGGCGCACAGTATTCGTACAATGGAATTGAATTTTCGAAAGCTACGGCATATCTCTGGTGCACTAAAACAGGCAGGCAATTGAGTTCACAATACCAGTCCAAACATTTGAGCCCCATCTAGGCAAGGAGAGTGTGTCACCAGAATTATTCCGCCAGAGATATGATTGCTTCAGTGGACAATGGAATTCGGTGAGCTGAGAAAATATGAACGTAGATTTGGTTTGAGCACATACGCGACAAAATGCAACATTTTGGCGTAATGAGTTTTATTGCACTAGCAAATGTTTTGCAGCCAACAGCGTTGTGCGACCAAGGAACCCCGCACTTGTAGGATTCGCTAGCGGTCTCCTTGAGATCGCGTTCCTGTTTTTCTGTATATACCAGTTCGCTTCACCGCTCTGCTTAAGTGCATTTCATATCGATTCCATCTGACTGTCTGTTCGACTCGAATTAGCACATACCGACAGCTCGCAAACAGCGTGCCTACTCATGCACAAAGCCGCTGTTTACGGATGTTCAACATCGATACTGTCATGGCAACTCATGTTCCGGTACATGCAGGCGCGAAGTCCGTAGGTTTCACATGTTCACCAATGACCCCTGAAGCTGGGCTTTACGACTCCTTGTTCGGTTGTGAAGCGCGTGCTCACCGTGTATCCGAATGCTACGTTGTGCCACATAACCGGACTGTTGTCTCGTGGCTTAGTCACTTCCTCGTCTCGTCGCACCATTGTTTTGGCATTGCGCGACACCAGGCCGGTGCTTTTGCATAGATTAACGCTGGACACGTGAGACTGACTGAGCACGATTTTTCTATTTCACATAGGTATTCATAAGTGAGTGAACACCCCCACGTATATGCCTGATTCAAGCTAATACCACCTAGTAGTAGCTAGCTTCCCGCCCCCAGTGATTTCCGTCTCATGTGCACAATAAATTGCATTCCATGCGTTTTATGCGTAGTATCTAGGCCTCTGTTCACCACCATCTTACTCTGTTTCGTCACCTTTATTCAAGCTATCCTTGTTCTTGAATCAAAGGACAAAGTAAACGCCCTTTGTCTTTTGATAATGGCTATGGAGGTGCTATTACAGCCGTACTCCTTGGATGTTGATCTGTTCGCCGAGTTTGGCAGTTGGATTGCAAACGTTTCCTCACCAATCGAGGTAACATCGTCAGTGCGAGGTTGAGTCACTGATGATGGTGATGAAACATTTGCAATCCAATTGTCAAGCTCGACGAACAGACCAACAACCAAGCAGGGCGCTCGAGCTACCTATATTCCGCAACATTGCAAACAACCGCTCTCCTCCGGAGAAAACCTTTCGCTTCCAAGGGACCTTGGGGCACATGATCGACTTACCATTGCCTGTGAGCCCAAATGAGCCACCATACTTTCAGTAGACTTCCCGCCGCCTTTAATCACATGTTTCGTGGGCACGTTTATACATATAAATACTTTTTTCTCTCGGTTGGTTTTCAACAACATCCTGATCAAACCATCAGCAGTGTCACCCACACTCAGATGGGGCATAACACTTGTGCTTTCTGCTTTTACTGCATCGACTGGTGCTAACGAAAAAGTTCTGTCATAAACGGAAGGAATGCCTGTACCACACTACTTATGGTCGCTGAAGCAGAATCTTGGTAGCCCTCTTTCTCGACGAGACGTCCCTGTTCAGAATCGGGGTGAACACATCACAATGGCCGCTCTATGCCGTCTACTCAGATTTACTAGTCACACTGGTGGTATTGTTTGTTTGCCGGAGGGGTAGATTTGAAAACGAGAACTTACAAAGTTTTATCCCATTTGTCATGCCGTAAGACACACGTCTTCACATCGGTACAAGACCCGCGGAGTGGCTGGAGCGGTTGATTCTTGGCTGCTGCTGACTATTAGCGATCACTGTCGTTGGCACCTCACACTATCTATCTATCAAGTCGCAGATCGGAAGTACCAACGCTTCATAATTCTGTATTTATGGAGTGACTAGTAATTGCGATATCCAAGTGCCTAATTCGGATTACATTTTTATTATCTCCACAGCTCATAGTTTTGTGGTGCATATTCCAGTATAGTCACGCGGCACAAAAACTTGTACCTAATGTCCAAGATCGTAAGGGCTGATAATGTTTGTACTGGTCCACCAGGTTGTCCCGCTCAACAGTATTCGGGGCGACCACTCTACACGAAGGGAGGAATTCACTGTCATATCAAGAAAGCTTTTCAGAACACTTGGATACATGTAAACCTCCATTGCGGCGATGAATTAAGCTACGACACACATCTTGGTGATGGCAACGCACTTGAGGAAACAATCACGTCGAGGAATGAGGGAGTACTGCATTTTTCTTGTGAACTGGGATGCTGCAGCGACAAAGTAAACTACGTAACTGCAGGGCTGTGACCGTCCACATGTGATACATGAACGTTTCCTGGAGAAAAGTCCACTTTTGCGTTTGGGGGCCAACAAGTGCAGTGGTGGTGGACTGTCATAAAACTACTCAGAATGCGTAAACTCTATATGTTATTCATTTGATGTCTATTATGATCTCCTTGATGGTGACCTCGTCGTCAGTGATGTCAACAACAGTTTACGAATATTGGTGCGTAACTATCTTGAGATCGTGCCAATCTAAATGAATAAAACTGTCAGCCTTGGACGTGATTGACTGCCTTTTTTTAAGCCATTCCACCTCCAGCTCGAACCGGGTCGGTGTTTTGTTCCAAAGTTGTTCATCGCCTGCAAAAAATGGTGAAATACAGTCCTTCTTACTTACCCACAACGCAGCCTTAGCTGGTGCCGCGTCATTGTATTCGTGTTCTCAATTGACCGCTGTATGTGTGTGTGTGTGTGTGTGTGTGTGCGTAGCGCCAGCCGGGCGCTCAGCACACGGTGAGCAAACAACACCCGCATTCGACTGAGTCGTTCGGTTTCACAGTGATCATGAACATTGTGCAGTCGCGCATACACCTCAGTTTACAAATCCTGCGGCTCACTGGAATGCTCGACCCTCTGTAATCCAGGTGTCTTAAAACGAAGAGTAGGTCTGAAGCGAAATTGCAACGCCGTAGGGGTGCAGTCGTATGTTTTGTTCTGCTTCACTAGGCTGTCTCACTGATCTGATGGCGTTGGACTGTAAAGTTTTGAGTACGTGCGGTTTCTTCCATAGTTCGTTGTTGTCCAATGAAGGGTCACTCAGATATCAGTTGGATTTCGTTCACACAAGAAACCGATCTACATCATTTTGGAGCCCAAGTTAATATCTCCTGTGGTTTGTTTTATATCTTATTTTTCCCTTGCAAGATCTCGTACAGTTGAAACCAGCACAGAATAATTGTCACACGTGTCTAATTTTGCTCGGAACCCGCCGCAATCCACCGCTCCACGTGTTGCTTTCAAAACCTTACTGAACCAACACACCTATCAAAAATTTTTCCCAATCTACTTTGCAGATAACTTCAATGAAGAAGGATCCTTTATCCATGGTTACTCAACCGATCCTGCTCTGGCACGATTCCCTCGGAACCCCTCATCACCGCCCGATGTTTCCATTCTTCAGTCTGGTCAAAATGACACTTCTGTCTAACTAGTCATGACTATTCCCTACNCAACCGCATCAATTAATCGTACCGCTTCGCCCTATACCCCCTCTCGAAGCTGCCACCGATTTGCCTCAGTCTATTGTTTGACTCTCACCAAAGGCGTTGGTTACATTTAAAGCTTCATTTTTTTCGCTACTCGACAATTGCTTTCAGATTCGATCATTGACGGAGGGACTCATTCCAGCCTAGCAATATCGCTTCACTCTTTGTATATCCATTCAAAAATCATGCTCACCTACCTAGGATTATTCGTCTATAGGCCCGTGGAAGTTGCCTAGTTTTGGTGACGAAGAAGAAGCGTACTTCTTATAACTCTTCACATGTCATGTCGTGTTTTTTTCCGCTTGTGTACCAAGATTTACTGTTTTTTTTCTATCGTACGTGCCGTTAGCATTTCATTCATTCGATTTTTGCGTTTTCCTTTCCTCCGAATGTGAACAATACATTCCCTGCTTCGTGTACACTTCTAAGAGGTGCAGTAACCCGGGCCTCACTTATCATTCACATTTGAGCTTCCTATTTGTTCAGCACCATCATCCTCTTTCTCGTGGTTGCTTCTCTTTTTTGTTTGTACCTGTGATGTGCTGTTGGTTGATTGGTTGGACAGATTACTACCCACCCTCTCGTACGGATTACGCGCGCGCGGACGATGCCAACTCCCAGCTCAAACTTTTCCGTGCTGTACGCACCCGCTCGTCACAACATTCCTTTTACATACATCATATTTTTACACGTTGCTTCCTCTATTTGAATCCAATATAACCCGAAGTACCAATTGAATCGATTTCGATTGGGTTTCAGGGATTGGAGTGGGAAAAAGCTCGGGAGCGAACTTTTCGATTTCCGACTCATGGTGTTGGAACACTTTCTGAATGGACCTGAACAAGATTCGATTCTCAGGCTTGCGAGTCATTCCAACTGTTTGCCAGGTTGACTGGTCTAGGGTGAACTCGAAATGATTATTAAAAGTTACTTCCTGAAATGTACTCAGCATGGGGCTAAATTATGCCCATCAGCTTGATGGAACACCATTCGATAGATGCCTATGGATTTCCTCAGTTTATCATGATTCCGGTGTTTTTTACTTGTCTTTTAAAAGCGAGACCCCCTAGAAAGAGCAGGCATAGGGACATACTTTAATGGGGCAATGGATGGCGAGAAAACCTTCCGAAGACGACTGTTTGTCTATGTTTACCTCAACTTTTTTGTGACAAGACGTCGATATTTATTTCTCACATGACCCCACAGGAATAATTTTGTGACGATAAATTCGGAAGATGAATTGATGTCACGCTGAAATTTCCCGGACGGTGGGCAACTTCTCGAGTTTCCTTTCAAGGGTTTGATATATACCTTGGGGTGTGACTGCATGTGGATTCACCATTAGATTTTTGTTGAGTTAGTTCAGAAATTTCATCGAAGCATGTTAGGAAACATGTCAGAGCTTCTTAACATGAAAAAATTATAGTTGATCGTAGTGATCTTCACACAACTATTAGCCGTCAGTCCATCGATTACTGGTTCGAGGCCTCAAATCAGATTGAACATGAGAACTTGCCATCGCTGCGCTTCGCTGGGAGCTAAAATTTTGCGGAAAGCCTTATTTCTGTCATGACTCTCTTCCAGGTATTTGTTGTTGTTCCGTTTCTAGAAAGCAGTAGTCGTCCAATTTGAGGCTGCGTGACAAAGAGCAAAATTAACAGGTTGATCGATGTGATCCAGTGGGGAAAGGTCAGACGACACTTCTCCTCTTGCATCCAAAATTGTGCACTCGTTCCATTTTGTTTGATTAGACTCCATTTATTGTCGGATGGGCTGCCCATACACGAGCAAGCACACTCGATCAAGACGTGTGCTCATCGACTCATCTTTTTTACATTTTGGCATGTGTAATTGCACTTAGTGCAGAGGCGTGCTGCGGAAATGTCTATATGTAAACCGAACATCAAATTACAAACTGCGCTGGCTAATGTGTGCGCCAAAAACCTTCAAAGTCCCACTCACTATCGATTCAAACGAACAAATTACCATTCGCTACTCTGTTGTTGAATCGATCCTTTGATCACGAACAGTGGGAGTCATGGAAGATTATTGTTAATCATGTTCCACTTATTTTGAATCGGCTTTAGATCAAGACTGCCGTTTGACTACTACGATACCTCTGCGTGACGAATCGGAAGCGGGCTCTTGGGGAATTATGAAGTTTGAAAGTGCTGCTCTGTCTTTCTAAAAAACCCGTCTGTCTACTCGTGGCCCTGAGGAATGGAAATAGCAGTCGGAACTGGTTATGAATCAGGTGTCTGTTGGTCTGTTCTTCGAGCTTTCTAATTGACTTGCAAGTGTCGCTTCACCATCATCAATGTGCAGTTGGGTGACCAATTTCTGTTTGCCTGCGTGCGTTTATTTACTACCTGAAGATTATCTGTTATCCCTCACGATGATTGGCCAATTAGGTGACTGCGTTGTTCGTAAATTCATTGGTCCGTTTGTGAACTTTGTTGGTTGTGGCCTGTGTTCGTTTGAGCTGATTCGTTACTCCAATGCCTTTCGTTTTTATCAGTTTCTTCCTTCGCCTTGATTGACCCTCTTCGCGAGTTGCATTACATTGTGTTCCGCCCTTCTCGAGATCGACTGGTTGGATGCGGCGCTCTAGTTTCTCCATCATAACGGTTATCGAAATCGTATGAGGGGTGCTTGTGCCCCGGATTCAAGCGAAACCAAAAGCGGCCTTCGCGCGAGCAGTTTTCACGGAACAGTGTCATGTTCGGACCGTAAAGAGTGTTGTCCTTTGGATAATGGGAGTAGTGCATACGCACAGCAATTTGGTACCCCTCAGAAAGATAATAGATATGACAATATCTTGACATTATTCGGCGGTGAAGAGAGTAGGACGAACGTTACCCCATAGACACACCATAGCTTAAAGGAAAACCCCTTGAAACACCTTGTGATCCTTCAATCTTTGATAAGCAGTTAGATGAATTGGGTTAAGTACAATCTCAGTTTACCCAAGCTGTAGTAGCTACATCCATGGTCGCTTACAAGCATTAAAAAACCTGAATTTTATGATAAATCAGAAGCAGTATACCTCGATGATTGGTTCGTACTATTCAAAAGATGGTTTTAGTCCTAGTGGTCCGTTTAAACAAAGCGCTAGCATAAGTCTGCAAAAGAGCCCCTTAGTGAGCCAAAAGATGGCCAATTTCTGTCGGCCGATAGGATGATTAAAAGTCCACCGTCTCTTCTGTGTTCTCCTCATCTTTTACTTCGAACCTATTGGGGAATAACTGTTACAATCAATAGATGAAAACGCGTCAACCCGCTTTCTTGCGATATACATGTGTATGCTAAGCATATTGTCAAAAAATTCACAACGGGGTAACGCAACACGTGTAGGATATAATACACGATATCTACGCTGATTTTCTTCGTATAACTGTGTTATATCTAACTGCCGTCTCCGCTCCAGTACCTTAGTGCCGGAAAGAGACTCGCCAACAAGGAAACAAAGAAGCGAGCACGTGCAAGTACAACGGCCTCGCGCTGTACTTTAAGGACACTGTTTGACCTTGATCCATGGCTGTCTGGTCGGTGTTTAATGGAGTTTGAGGGTCTTCCGCCATGGTAGATAACTTGAATTGTTCACAATCAAGATCGACTTTATCAGCATAAGTGACTTAGTCTTCAGGTTCCTTTTTCGCTAGTTTCATACGTTGGTATCGAATATTAAACAGGGACGAAAGGTCACCGAAAATTGTTGGGAATCGCTGCACGATTTCGTCAAAACTGAAATCTCGCGCATTATTTGCTAGAATGAAGTTAAAATACCGTGTGTGTGTCTTTGTACCAAGCTTCCTGAGCAATGAGCGCACTCTCCATACATCCTCGTTGTGCTTCAGTTCGACTGTGAAAATACCTCTGTAACGTCTGCACCACGAATCGAAGGTTAGACCAGCATCAAGGTCACAATGGAACCCCGTGATGCTGTTGGCTATCGAGTCGACTGAAATCGCATCTGGAGCGGAATTTGGTGGTTGAATTTTGAGTTGTCGCGCCAAGGTTTCCACCAAACGCAACTGCACCGCTTCAAACTGAGTTTGTTGTTGTATCAGAATTTCCTTCAACGTTTCAGCAGTTGTTGTCATGATTCCGTGGGTTCGGCAGTCTATTATATCTGACTGCTATCGCCGCTCCAGTGCCTAGTGCCAGAAAAAAACGGCAACAAGAAACACAACAGCCTTGTTGCAAACAAGCGAGTACGTTCAAGTACAACAGCCTCGCGCTGTATTTTTGGGGCATGGATTGACCTTGATCCAAGGCTGTCTGATCGGCATTTAGTGGAGTTTCATGGTCTTGGTAGGTTTAGGGTGTTCTGAGATAAACTTCAGGAATCTGATCAAACCGGTCTTCACTGAAGTCCGAGCGACCACGAAGTTACCTGCAATAGCTTGAGCCCCATTTGTTGGCTATGTAGGTACTCCCACTAATCAACTCTTTTCGATCCGGTAGTTGGTGGCCCTAATGAATCACCACCATATGAATCCTAGGTCTACGTATCTATTACCTCCATCTGTCTGAAAAAGAAAGCCTAGGTAAATCAATGAGCTAATGGGGTGCAGCTTCATGAATACCAAGCTTTTTAATGTTGAACTTTCTATATTCACAATCTATCTGTCCATTGTTTTGTAACTGGCATTCCATTTCATAATATTCCAAACGTCTTGGATGAGGTTTTGTCACCCAAACGTACCAGTGTATTCAGTAGTGTTCAATGATCGACCACTGTTCTATCTGGCCTACATTTTCTCGTGGTAATCTCACTCTCGTGTCGGCTGGTGGCACGCGTACGTGACCGAAACAGCATTACACTTGAGTCACAAGAAAACCTTTGAACCTCTCCGACTCCGTTCTCATGGGCTTTAATCATGGACCGGTAAACAGCTGTTCGTAACGTGTGTTGCAATAAAGTCAGATGTGGAACTCCCAGAGTCAGACAGGATTGAACTCTGAATGAAGTCATACAAACGTAATTCGCCGAGGGTACTACACCGGTTACCTCATCCCATACTATTTGTGACAGATTCCTAGAAGTTTTCGTTGCAGAATCAAGTCCATTGGTATCTGTCTGGAGTCGTACCTATTCCCGTCCATTTCATCGAGGATACTAAGCAGTAGTACGTGAATGGAGTGAAGCACAAAGGTAATCACAGACCAATTTTCGACAAGGTCATGTGCGTCGGCACATCCTTAAGAAGAACTGTTACCGTGATACACCATTCATCTGGTTGCTGAAAATTCTTCGACATCCCACGACTGGTTTCGCCCTTCTTGCGGCTCATCAAGTAGGTGAGTCCCCGAGTTTCCATCAACTTTATGTTTAACTTGAACCCAAATTGCACGAAATTAGCTAAATACACTTATTTGCAAACCCCTTCGGTTTTGCGGGAGACTCACGTGGAACCCAGCTGAATCTCTCGTTTGTGATGTTCCTCTTGGACGGGGACCCCTAGACGGGCCACATCAATGGTTAGAGACATTGTCAGACATGACCCAGTCGCGCCCTCAATGGCGCTCGTGCATCCAAGCT